AGAGAGAGAGAGTGAGTGAGTTTTCAACATCATAGGAGAGCAGCTCTGTACCTTTACTTTCAATTCTGTGTGACATAGTGGTTGCTTGTGTCTTGTGCAATCTCACTTTCCATGTTTTCGGATGACTCAATGCTCTATATCAGGTAGCAAAACCCTCATGGCTAACATCATCTATTTTTGCCTTAGACGATGTTTTGACTCAGCAGGCACATTCACATTATTTTCCAGTAAAACTAGGTTTCAAAGACACACTGGCTGACTTGGTTCACACAGCAATAAACTTATGTGAGAAATTCAAAATAGCCCAGGGTGTCTGCTACCTCATTAGTAAAATAATATCTCTTATTTTCTCCCATGTTTTCAAGGTAAGAGCTAGGGAAGTTTTCCAAGGGTGAGAGATAGATCATTAAGAATTTATCTACATTTCTTTTATTCTGTTTCTCATTCTTAGGTGGTTAACTTCATTAGTAAAATCTTGGGCAGTAAGAGCCCAAATACTATTTAATGACTCATTTATGATATAAATAGGAGATTGGTTGTCTTAGAAAAATCTCCCCAAGAGAGCCAATATTACTAAAACCAGCCAACCAAACAAAAAGTAACTGAGTTATTTGCTATCATCTCTGAAAGTATTTAAAGCTTGTATGATCATGTGATGGATGGGCTGAGTCATAAGACAGCCAAACTGTTTACATTCTTCACTTTACAAGCATTTTCCCCAGTTCTCACATATCCAACTCCAACTTGCAAAAGTTCTGCCCCTAATTCTCGTAATTTAACTTGCTTTAACTGCAGTGTCATTGTTTGTCTCTCACTGTTACGTAAGAGAGACAAAACATGCTACTTATCCAGGATCGGTCTTAGCATTATTTGTTACAATGGAGTGAGCTTGAGGCCCCACCAAGAGTTGAATTTGCAACAAACAATGCTTGGTTCGAGCATCTGTCTTTTGAATCCACTCCCTGGTCCTCATCCTGCAACCTCTCTTCCTCAATTCCTCCTCATTAATATTTTAGTATTCACAGCAACAGCCACAGCCAGAGCAGCAGCAATTTCATCCTGAATCCCTGAGGCCGACTTACCATAGGGTGAGGCAAAATGGGCATCTGACACACACATACAGAGGAAAGGAAATTTCAGTTTAATTAACCTCATCGTTTATAATGGGCAGTAAACATGCCTTCAGACATTGAATTTATTATATTGTAACAAACATTTCTGCCCATTGCAACAAAGGGGACCACCAGCTCATCTTACAAAGATGTTCGTTATCCAAACATTCTTCAACAGAAGGTAGCGAACAAAAGACATTCAGTGGTTGCTTGCAAAATGCATAGAAACATGAAAGATCCATACAGAATTGTCTTCCAATCAGGTAAAAAGTAAAATTGCTGGACTATAATATCTTCCAAGTCACTATATAATGGCAAATTTATCTCCATTTGAACTCCTACCAACAATGTATAGATTCTCCCACTTGTTTATCTAGTTGACAACACATTTTTAAACTTCATGCCTGTTGCTAATCTAATGCATATGAAATTGTATGTCATTTTTATTGCCATTTTTCTGATTATTGCTTAGACATATAAATTCAAGAAATAGTATTGAGCACCAAATCTGTGCCAGATCTTATTTTAAGTATCTGGAATACATAAGTGAAAAAAAAAAAAAAGGGAAATCACATACTTACGTACTTTATATTCTGACAAGTATAAAAACAATACACTTAATTGACTAAGTAAATTATACAGTATTATGGCCCTTTAAAAAATAGTCCCCATTCCCATTAGGAAAACTATAAACATTCTCTTCCACTTGAATTTTAAAATTTTATAAATTTAACTTTCTAAATTTAAGAGTTAACCTTTATCCACTTGGAAATTGTTTTTTGTACAAAGTGTGAGGAAGAGATATGTTTACTATTTGGCTTATGAAAAACAGATTCATCTAGCACCCTTTATTGAATAAAAAGACACTTGTCATTTATATGAAATGTCACTTATGATTCCCTTTTCATGCATGCAAATCAGTTTGTAGATCTCTCTCTGTCACTGATATCAGACCTCCCTGTTCTAATCCTTGCAATCTATACAAAGTACTTTCCCAAGGTTCCAGAGTGATCCGGTTAAAATATGAGACAAATCACATCACAATTTTGTTAAAAATATTCAAATGGTTCCCCATTACAATCAGTGTAAAACCAATTCCATTCTAGCACTTCCAAGGCTCTAAACTTCCTGCTTCTCCCAGATCCCCAGCACCTCTCTGAACTCTGTCTCACTCCCTCAGCTTCAGGCATGCTGGTATCCTTATTGTTTCTATAACATGAAAGACCACACTTGCTGTCCCTCTACCTGTAAGGCTCCTTTCCCAGATGTGCACAAGGCCATTCCTCTGACTGCCTTCAGATCTTCATTCAAAAGCCATGTTCTCAGCGAAGCTCTCCTGGGCTTTCCCATCTATTCAATTTCAGACTCCTGTCTGGAATTTCCATTCCTCATTCCTTGCTTTCTGTATTTTCCTTCTTAACACCTATCACTTTGAAAATAACTTCCATCTATTGAATATATCTTGCCTACTGTCTGGCACACTGAAATAAAAATTCCAAGAGGGTAGGATTCTTTTGATTCTTTTGATCATTACCACATCATATGTTCCTGTGCCTAGAAGACTGCCTAGCAGCAGAGAGCTACCTGTAGTTACTATAGGTGCGATGAAGCTCAAACAGACAAAAAATGGGGTCAAAGTAAGCCAAAAAGGGAGCTAGTCAGTTTTCCCTGGGTTTTGCCTCAAAGCTACACACACTAATGACTTCAAAGCACAACTGGGCATTTTATTCATTAGAGTAAAGCAGGCCAGCTGGGAGTTTGGCTGGCTTGAGAGCATCTGAGTCTATAATGGGCTTCCTCAGACTCAGCCGCTGTATCCTTGTTGAAATTTGGACCATAACCCTCAGTTTCCTTTTGTTTTTTTACAGGTGGACCAGAAATAAGAAATTTCCCAAATGTCCAAGTAGTTATAAAAGCATAGAAAACTATGTTAATTAGAAAACAAAAAACAGTAAGATCAAGTAAAACATGACAGCTGGCTGAAATTAGCTCATGAGTATCCCTAAGCCGGTGTTTGTCGGACTAAAATTGTGTGATATATGAAAGAAAATTAACCCCTGCTATGATGAGGTGGGGTTGTTTGTATCAATTTTGAAACAAACAACTTCAGGTAATGTAGGGTGGAGAAGGAAGATAAGTTACAAATTGTTTAACTCTTGGAAGCTTCCTCCCCCATCCTCCCACTGCTACACATGGAGTTAGTTGAAGCTGGGGAGTAGGGAGTGACCAGAACTCTATCATTAAGGCAGGGGTATATTTTGGTGAACTGTGGGATGAGGAAACCAGAGAGAGGGCTTTGAGGGGACCTTCCGTGGCAGCAAAGGGGAAAGGGCAGAAGGAGAGGAAGAGAGGGGCCCATGTGTCAAAACACCCTATGTCTGAGGGACTTTACTGGGGTTACTGCAGCCTCGCACACACAACCACTACACCTCCATGTGGCAATACGGAGCCAAAGGAGTCAGTTACACCAAGCCACACATCCCAGCCTGAATTCCCCAGGCCCTCTATCTCACCTGGAAACACAGCTGCACACACTCCCATCACTGCTCCCCATGTGCCTGGACTTCCTTAAGAGCAGCAGACCTGTTGGGATACAGCCAACAGATGGGGCTTCTGGGGACAGCAGACCTGTTTGGTGCAGCACTGGCTGGCAACAACTGTGAGAGGCATGGACTGAAGCCAACTGTGAGAAGTATGGACTGTCATGTATGACAGTAGGCGCAATCCTCTGATGTCCCTCCTCTGAAGGGAAGCAAGGTTCAGTCCCGCCAGAGAAAGAACAATGAGGGGACTAATGCTGCTGGGTTCTGCAAGGTTCCATTTTTGTGCATAAAATACTTTCCAGATGCGACATGGCACAGCTCTTAAGATCTGAGAGCCCCACCGACCCATTCCCACAGGAATTGTTTAGGCTAGGGGTGTCGAACTCAATCAGAGAAGGGGCCAAAATCTAAAATCCAGCCTAAATCACGGGCCGAATGGTTTACTGAACAGTCATAAACTGTCATTGTGATGGAAACGCAGCGGAGTGCAGTGATGACAGCGCGGTGCGGGCCACATTGCAAGGCCTGGCGGGACGAATTTGGCCCGCGGGCCTTGTGTTTGACACATGTGGTTTAGGCAGTGTAGGGTAAAAGAACCAAGACCTTCAGGTCCAAGATCTGTTGCACTTGGGTCCTCTGAGCAATGAGGCTGAATGCACAATGTGAGTGTGTTTAGGCCCAGGGTCCGGGGTCCTGCTTTGCAGACAAGACTCTCCCATCTCTGTGAAGTTCCAGTCCATGAAGTCCCTGAAATGAACCTTTAAGTGTAAACCTGGCTCCTGCTTAACTCTTGAGTCCTCCCTGTCAAAATACCTTCTAGGGAACCCGCAGGCCACCTACCTGGCTTCTCTCCTTTGCCACATCCTCTGGGCCCAGAGCCAGGGACAGAAATGTGGACCTGTCAGAAGTGCAAGATGCTCCTGGGCCTCTCCTCTCCCCTCTCCCCTCGGCCCACTCCCCACACCTCTTTGTCTGTAGGATCTCTCCCTGGGGCAGGCTTTCTTCTTAGGATTCCTCCTTCTTCAGTGTCCCTGGCCCTTTGGTCCTCACAGGCCTAGTCCCACCTTAGAGTATCCTGTAGCCACTCCCCTAATCTCTGCCAGCTTTGTCTTTCTCCCCTGGCTCTGGACCTCTCCTGAGATTCTCTGTGCCCTCTCCACTCCAGTTCTTCAGTCTGCTTTCCTCTAAGCCCCAAGATCTCCCTCTCCCTCTGTTATTCTCATCTCCTCCCAGCTGGGGCCTCCCCCTCCTCACACAGCCTCCCCCCAGGAAGCCCCTCCAGTTCTGGCCCCTCCCCACTGCTTCCTCAGCAGCAACCTCCCTCTGCCCTCCCCCACAGCCCAGCTCTGGTCCCTTCTCCTCCCTCCTTCCCAGAGCAGGCCAGCTAAGTCCTATGCCATTTTTAGATGACTGATGATGATGCTAGCTGAACTTTATTCACAGCCCGAATTTACAGCTGCCCCTTCCTTTCATGCGCCATCCACCAAACACCCCCAGTCTCCTCCACATGATAAAGTCCTTCCACACATGGCATGTCCACACACATTTGTATTCTTCAGAACAAACAATAGTTATGCTGGCAAAGATGCTAAATCAATGGGACCCTTAAATTCCAACACACCCAAAAACAACATTATTTTGCATAGCCACAACCTAGACATTCGTCTTCACAAATGTGGCCAACTCTACACTAACAGTTAGAACTTTTTCACCAAATCGTAGACATAGATATGGAAATCATCCTCAAACTTGATGAAGTACACTGAGGGTTTGGCCTCCACTTGGTGAATCACCATGCCGATGCGTTTGGAGCCATCTTCTTTGGTATATTCCACGTGCTTGCCTATCAGGCCATCCACAACCCCGGGATCCCTCTCGGCTGGAGGGGGCTCGCTGGGATCTGGCATGATGCGGAGGTCTCCTTCCTTGTAGTCATCCAGAAGCTGGTACATGTACAGGACGGGATCTTTCTCATAGGTGATGTAGAACCACGCTTTCATGATGGGCGCTTGGGCCAACACCATCCCTCTCCACTCATCCTTGGCCCCGTGCTCGCCCTCAAACAGATGCTCCACCGCTTTGCCAATGATGGAGCTGGCCAGGTTTGCATCCGTGTCTTGAGAGGATGCCACCCTGTCTGAGAGAACCTTAAGAGACAAGACTCTCTCATCCCTGTGCAGTTCCAGTCCATAGACACAGTCAATGCCATCGTATTTGACCAGGTACAGAGCGGGGTTGATGGGCACCTGGTCCAGGACGGTCCCTTTCCACTGGGTGATGGGCTCGTCGCCTTCCTTCCACCCGTGGGAGATCCTGCAGCCCACAAGGCTCCTGCGGGGCTGGGACGAGGGTCTGCCCCTCTGCTTCTTGGGGCAGCTTTTCTTCTTCATGGTGTTTGCGGCCCCAGCGGCCCGTCCCGCGGGGGCCTTGGCTGGCTGCCCTTCGGCTTCCTGCACGCCTGAGGTCTTCATGCCTGCAGCCAGAGCGAGCGGGGAGAGAAGAGGGAGAATGTGGGAGACAGACACTCAGATGCCCCAAGGTGCTGCTCCGCAGGCAGCGAGGTCTCTTTGTACCCCGCGCTGCAACTACATTCCCCCATGAGCGAGCTGTAGCCAGCGCTGCAAGTCCTGGCTGCAGCCTGCAAGCTGCTCTGTCCAGGGCGCCTGCAGGCTGCGCTGCCTGGGAAGGGCAGCGGGCGGTGCGGGCTGGGGTAGGAACTCTGCAGCGGGGGTAGGCTGCTTGAGACTTCCAAGCCCCAGCCTGCACCCCCCTGCCTGCACCGCCGGCCCTGGAGTCCCCTCGAAATCCCCCGCAGAGCGCTCCCCTCCCCAGCTCGGACCCAGGGCGGGCGCTCACTGTCCAGCAGCCCCAGCACCCCAGCCTCAGCGCTAGCCAGCCTCGCCCCTCTCCCCCTGCCCCTCTCCCCCCTCCATCTTCCCCCTCCATCTCCCGCAGGAGCGCACCGCTCTCTTTCCAGCTGGTACCCACCAGCAGCCTTGCCTGCCCGGCGTCCACCTCCGGAGAGCGGGCCTCACGTGCCCAGACCGGACACCTCGCTGCTGCCTTCGCGGGAGCCCGCGTGGAGGGAGAAAGAGCGGGCGGCGCGCCCCCCGAGCTTGCAAGCGCTGCTTGGAGAGGGTAGGTGCGCCCGGAGCGCGTCCAGGGGGGCGGCGGGGCGGGCCAGGAGGATGGCGGCTGCGTCTCCAGTGCGGTGCCTGAGGACCCTCAGCCTCAGGTCGGCGGCAGAGGCCCCTCTGCCTCATTGGGATCCCACCAGCCGCTACCGCTGCAGCAGTCTCCGCCCCCTTTCTGTAGCGCAGCTTCCTGCCAGGAGAGTGGCCTCCCCTTCCTGCCAAACACTGGGTGCCCCCGCCCCCCATTCTTAAACCCACCAGTGCCTTTGGTATTCCTTGTCTCCCCGTCCCGCCCCTTTCCAAATTCAGGAGCTCCTGGACCCCCAACTCTGTCCCTATCTTTTCATTTCAGGGATCTTTGGCTCTTGTGGTCACCTACACCTCCAACCTCTCAGTGTCCACGCCTCTCTGCTTTTTATCTTCCAGGAATTTGTGTTTCCTGTTTTCTTTTTTTATTTCCCTTATGTAATTCTTCTTTATACATACATCTGCCTTTCTTGTCATTTGTAAGGATTTGGGATGGGAAGAGATAAATGTGCCAGTTTTGAGTCTGCCATCTTGAGCCAATCTCTACATAAGGTTTCCTGAGTGGTCATCCTTGGGTTTGACTTTTTCAGGATTATTCCTGCCTTTCTTTTTTTCTCTCTCTTTTTTTAAATTGAAAATTAATTGCTTGCGCAATGTCAACACCGCGTACATTTCAAAAATTGATAGGAAGAAAATAACCAACTGAAATTCCACTTCGCATTCCCCGGAGCTCAACCCAAAACATTATTACTCATAATTATGAATAATTACTCAACATCAAAAATTATTCTTTTTGCCATTTTTTTTTTCTAGACTCTCACAAAACCTGGATATTTTGCATATGCAAGTTCATGCTCTGTTCTTTTCCATATAGAATAAGCACTTTCTCAGGACATTAGATATTTTTAAAAAATTATTTCTCTTACTTGACAAATATTTCTTTAGCACCTGTTACATATCTGACCTATAAAACTCAATTTTATAGTGACCACAATTTAACTTTTCCCTCATTACTGAACCTTTGGAAAATGTGTCCACAATAAATGGTAATGTGATCTACTTATTACAAAGGAGAGCTGAGGAGGAAAAAAAAATAACTTTATAAGAAACAGAAAATTACAGTTTTATAATCCAGTAGAAAAAGACTGGTTATTCTTTAAGCAATGCTAATATTCTTTAAATATTTGGGAAAACAGAAATGAAACCACATGTATATGGGCAAATAATTTTGACAAAGGAGCCAAAACCACACACTAGAGAACAGAAAGCCTCTCAATAAATGATGCTGTGCCGAAATCAGTTTGGCTCAGTGGATAGAGCGTTGGCCTGCGGACTGAAAGTCCCAGGTTTGATTCTGGTCAAGGGCATGTACCTTGGTTGCGGGCACATCCCCAGTAGGGGGTGTGCAATAGGCAGCTGATCGATGATTCTCTCTCATCGATGTTTCTAACTCTCTATCCCTCTCTCTTCCTCTCTGTGAAAAATCAATAAAATATATTAAAAATTTTCTCCACAAAGATATATGCACCCCTATGTTCAATGCAGCATTATTTATGGTTTCTAAGAATAGAGACAACCTTTGATAGATGATTGGATAAAGATATGACACATCTATTCTATGGAATACTACTCAGCCATAAGAAAAGATAAAATACTGCCGTTTGTGATAACATGGACAGATAATATGAGAATATTATGCTAAGTGAAATAAGTTAGTCAGAAAAAGCTAAGAACCATAGATTTCACTCATATGTGGGGTATAAAACTGAAACTCATAGACACAGACAACAATATAGTGGTTACCAGAAGGAAGGAGGTGGAGGGGAGGCAAAAGGGGCCAAATATATGGTGAAGGAGGATGATTTGACTTTGGTGGGCACAGAGTACAATATCGATCATGTATCATATAAATGTACACTTGAAACCTAGGTAGCCCAATTGACCAGTGTTACCCCAATAAATGTAATAAATTTTTAAAAGGAAAAAGGTTGCCCAGCCAGCGTGGCTCAGTGGTTGAGTGTTGACTTATGAACCACCAGGTCACATTAAATTCCTGATCAGGGCAAATGCCTGGGTTGTGGGCTTGATCCCCAATGTGGGGCATGCAGGAAGCAGCCAATCAGTGATTCTCTCTCATTGACATTTATATCTCTCCCTCTTCCTTCCTCTCTGAAATCAATAAAAATATATTTTTAAAAAGCTCTCAACATTAAAAGTAATAATAATAACAATAATAATAATAATAATAATAACAATAATAATAATAAAGAGAACAGTAAATATTTAGAAAAATTTTTACACTAAATTGTCCCCAAATCAATATTTGACTTATTAAAATGTAAAATTCATCAAAATAAAACAGAAGAAAAAAACTAATGAACAAAACAAAATCCTAATAAACAATATGAACATTTCACAGTTACTTATGGTATCTGAATCAGGCGATGGGTCAGATGTTCACAGAACAGCTAAGCTTAAAACAATAAAATAATTCCTAAAAGAAAAAAGAAAATCAATAAAAATTGATTCAACAAAGTATGAAAGAACATTAAAATATTAATGTCATTGAGCATGAGGAATGAATTCCTCATCCAGTGCTACTGCAAATGAAAGTTCATACAATTTTGGGGGTGGAAAGCAATTTTCAGATATATACTAATTCATGTGAGGGCTCATTTCGTTCTGGTTAACTCTTATTCCTGGGATATTATCACCTTTGGAGTTTCAACAGAGCTCTTGACTCCAATTTCTGTAGCCTTAGTTTCAAGGGGAATTCATAAGCTCTTCTGAGCTTCTAAGCCTTTCCAGTGATCCCCTGCTGAATAGGTAAACTTCCGCAGGAGAGAAAACATCCAACACATTTACTGTTTATCTCTTGGACCTGTTCTCCTTCATATCCTGGCTGAGTAATTATTTCCTATCTTCTTGGTTTGCAGATGCCTTTGAGAAGATGTATTTTTAACTGTTTTATCCAGCTTTTATTATTTCTTTAATGAGAAAGCTGTTTTGAATTCCTTAGTCTCCTATCTATACACCTATATCTATAATAATAAAAGTGTAATATGCGAATTGACCGAACAGCATAATGACAGTCCAGACAACATTCAGGATGACTATACTATGACACGCACTGGTGCCAGGCCAGCCAAGGCGGGTGCCATGCTATTGACGTGGGTGCCTTGTCATCACCCCACGATTGCTCCACAGAGGGAGACCCAGACCAACCTCTGTGGGGCCATGGACTGGGGGGGGGGGGGGGCTCTGCGATGGCCCCAAGAGGGAGGAGGCCCATGATGGATTGCCCCACAAAGGGAGGCCCAGTCCATCAGCCAGAGACCCTGTGGTGGGTGAGCGGGCTGGCCAGAGATCACCCCACAGAGGGAGGCCCAGGCCAGCCAAACGATTGCACCCACACCTGTCACCTGCAGAGGGAGGCGACCAGTGGTGGGCAGCACTGCACAGATGGCAAGCAGTGGCAGCATCAGGGGTAGGGCCAGCTGTTGGCAGCCAGGAGAAGGAAAGCCCAATAGGCGCTAATCATCAGCCATGCCTAGGGACCCTACCCAAGGGGTTCCAGATTGTGAGAGGGTGCAGGTCAGGCTAGGGGACACCCCCTCACCCTGTGCATGAATTCTACACACTGAGCCTCTAGTTTTGTTACAAAATATATGTATTCAGCTATTTGTAATAGCTCTAAACTGGAAACCACCTAAATTTTTGTCAACAGTAGAGTGGGTATTTTATAGTATATTCATACAATGGCATATCATATAGAAGCAAGAATGAGAAAATTACAAGTACATGCAACAACATGAGTGACTCTCACAAATATATTTTTTAAAAAGAAGAGAGCAAACAGGCACACATTTTTGTCTTTCCGATTTATTTCAAGTTCAAAAAATAATCTATTGGCTGAACATTTAAAATAGCAGTTATTTTTGCAAGAGCATTTCCCAAATACGGTAGTAATAATTCACATTCTGTCAGCAATTGATGAAAGCACACCTTTTTTTGTAGAGACATTTTTCAGTGGCCTATATGGCAAGAGGGCTTCATAGAGAGCAGCAAAATGTGTTGAATTGTGACATTATTTGGCATTGCAGCCTAGCATCTAATTACACTTCTGGTAATTGCGTCCCCCATTTCCCTTTTGTGAGAAACCTAAGTGTAACCTTGCAGAGCATTGAAATACTATTACAATGATTATTTTAGCACTAGGTACCCAAACTAATCAGAGCCAAATAGGTATGATGATATTTTGCACAAGCTCCTGCATATAAGATAGGTTATCTTTTTCACTGGTCGTGAGTGAACCTGAGAAGATGTGAGAATCAAACTGCTCTGTTCACCTTACCATCATCTGGAGACCGAGGAAGAAAGCAGCATTGAGAAGACATCAAAGTCACACTAAGAAAAAGAGGAAGCGTGTTATACTAATGACATGTTTTGTACCTGTAGGTGGTCAGGGCCATTGACTTCCCAATATATAGCCCCTCTGAAAGGTTTCTCTAAGTTAACCATGGCAATACCGTGCCCCCTGTAAATGATTGGTTTGATATTTGTCATAGGATATGATCTGAACAATGAAACATAAATTTATTGGCTGGGGGACTTCTGACCAAAAAACTAATTATTATTATTATTTTTTTTTACTCTTCAAAGAGACAGGAAATTATGTTTTCTTTTCTTTTTTAGGACAATTCTATGCATGCATATGACTCTTGACACCTCTATAACCAGCCTGTGGGCAAAACCAGCACAAGGAAGATAGCAGAGGAGGGAATAGGAATAGTATGAGCCTTTTGATTATTTCATTTGGCTGCTGATCATATCATCCCTAGAGTCTTACTTTTGATTTCAATTTATGAGATGTGACATTTTGTTACAGTTAAGGCAACTTGAGTTTGGCTTATTTATCTTATAACTGTAAGTTTGTACATTTTCTATTACCTGTAATATAATCTAAAATGGCAAAGTGTTTAGTAAATGTATGTGTATCTGTGCTTAATACATAAGATTACATATATAAAAATAGGAGGTTTTATGTAGGGTTAGAAATAAGTAAATTTGAAAATAGAGATGAAATTAAAAATTGGGAAAATATTAATATCTAATTTAACTATTTGTTGAATGACTTAATGGAATTTACATAAATTCTAATGTATGCAATGT